ATTTGTAAAAATGTATTTTAGTAAAAAGACTAAATAAGATTACATAAATATATAATACATCATACAAATTGTGAAAAATATTATTTGATAGAAAGTGTGTCTTTAATTTATCCTCAGAAAAAAATATGAATATTTGTACAGGCATGTTTTGTAGTGGTATTTGGGATAGATAGATACCACGCATGGTATTTCAAATTGTCAAACAAAAATTCTCAAGATAAGCAAAATTTGTGACAATTTTGAAATATCACAAGTGGTATTTATCCCAAATTCTATGTACAAAAATTCTATATTTGTTTATGAAATGGTTGAACAAAATTGTGCAATGTGAAATACCACTATTAAGTATAAATACCTCTCCTCTAAGCCAACCAAATTGCACTATTTTATTCAATCATATTAAAACTCGATGAACGTCACTTCAATTCAACAGTAACAAAAGTGGTCGATAGAGTACACACTCTAAGTGCGTGCAAATCGATCATGAACACTAACAATTTTTTATGACAATTTCTTCCCTTTCTTGTCCTTCCTGAAAGAATAATTAGAATACACCATATTAATTAAGGAATCCATAAACTGTAGCTATGTTTTTTTTTGTTCTTTTTAAAATGTATTGGGTAATTCTTAGTCACCACCAATATGTTTGCATAAAATCTAAAATACTTATTATTTTACATTAAATAATTTAAAAAATAGCTCATGTAAGGAGAAATCTAACATTTTTTTTGCTAAAAAAACAACAATACTGCCTTGTAATGTTAACTGGTGAACAACACTTCAATCCTAGCATTTCCCTGACCAACGACCAACATCTCAAGGTACAGTATTTTAGTAAAAAGACTAAATAAGATTACATAAATAAAATAATAATACATACAAATTGTGAAAAATATCATTTGATAGAAAGTGTGTCTTTAATTTATCCTCAGAAAAAAATATGAATATTTGTAAAGGCAATAGCATGTTTTGTAGTGGTATTTGGGATAGATAGATACCACGCATGATATTTCAAATTGTCAAACAAAAATTCTCAAGATAAGCAAAATTTGTGACAATTTTGAAATATCACAAGTGGTATTTATCCCAAATTCCATGTACAAAAAATTCTATATTTGTTTATAAAATGGTTGAACAAAATTGTGCAATGTGAAATACCATTATTAAGTATAAATACCTCTCCTCTAAGCCAATCAAATTGCACTATTTTATTCAATCATATTAAAAGTCAATGAATGTCATAATTGTCAACAACACTGCCTTGTAATGTTAACTGGTGAACATGACTTCAATCCTAGCATTTCCCTGGCCAACATCTCAAGGCTTGGTTGTAACAACAGATCAATTAACAGTTATATATAATTTTGATTGGTTTTATCATCAAAGCTCTGTAATATACTCCTTCAATGAGCAGTCATAAATGAAAGTTATATGTGACATTTGTTTAAAAAAAGATATAGTATWGATGAAATGAAGAAAAACATGAAATAAAATCAAACAAAATACTAACAAATAGCAGGTATTTAGAGACAATTTGTCAGTACCAATGAACCAGAACATAATGAAAAGGAATCCACATGGGACCATTTTTAATAGCCGACTTGCAAGTTTTGCATCAAACATCGCACACAAAGGAATGAATACGAGGCGCCATGCATTAAGCTCAGTCATTTGTGAAAAGACAATAGTTTTCGCAACTGACTGAGATTTACGCACAGTGCCTCGTCTTGATTCTTTTGTGTTTGACTACTGAAGCAAAATTCGTAAATCAGCTATTCAACTTGATTGCATTCTGGTTCATTGACACTAACAATTTGTCTCTAAATAGCAGCTATTTGTTAGTATTTAATTTGGTTTCATGGTTTCCATGCGTTTGCTCTAAAACTAGCTGTAAAGACTGATTGATCAAACTGATACACAACAGAATTGGGCTGTGTTATAAATGACTATATGACTAGACCTGTGTAGCCTCAAGCTTGTGAACCTTTTCTTTAAAATTTCAAAACATAAATTTGCACACTGCAATTCACATAGCCAGTTGATGTCTGTTAAGAATTATTATTAGCATCATGCCAAAAATCTCCTGTAATCTGGAAACATTTTCAAAGGTTACAATGCTTATAAAAAAAACAACAACAACAACAATATGCTTACTTAAATATGATTAGTAAATGAAATAATCATTAGATATAGTGCATGTATAACAGCTACATAGTACAATAAATTGCAAATTGTATTTCTCGCATTTATGTTTAGGAAGTTGATCTCTGGCTAGGAAATCATGAATATAATATTCTATTAACGAAAATGAATACAATCAAAGATGCAGTTTTAAAATGATTCAAAAAGCAGGACTTCTTGATAAATCACACTGCTTTAACATAAATATTATAGTATCATAAGCCAAAGATAAGCTGTGTTTAGCCAAAGTCAACAGATTCCTAAGGATACATATGAGAACTACAGTTTACAAGCTTTATAATCACCTACATTAGTTTCAGCTGATTGAGCGACTGGATTGAGCTTCTTGTACACTACATGTATCCATATTTATTCGTTTCAAGACTTTGATTTGGTGCCTGTGAGCAAGAAAGATCTTGTTACACAGTCTTATTATGTTTAACATCGTCGATGACTAATGATATAACTCAACAATCATGCATAAAAAGTACTGTTCACGGTATTAAACTGAGCGACAAAACAGACTAACGTACCTCACATGTAAGAGTTAAATTGCCATCGAATCTCACCAGTTGACTGTCATCCACGGTTAAATATCATGCCTAAAGACACTAAAGCCATTCGGATAGCTTACTAGTTGAAAGATGTTGTTTGTAAACGAATAAAATCCACGAGAACTGCCATGAAAGACGAAAAATCTGTAGACTCGCCTCAAACATGACCGTTAGAAATGGCGCTCGAACGAGACAATTAGAACATCGCTAAGGATCATGGATATCCTCGCCCCAGTCTCCAGGAGGAAACGTGTTTTTTTTTTGATATAAAAGAAAAGTAATAAGCTAAATAAAAGTAAAGTCGAAATAGATAAATAAAAATAAGCGAACTTCATGTGAGATTATGCATATTGTTTTAAACTGTACSGATGTGAGAAAGAGTAGTCTTCTCGCAGCCGTTCTTAGTGTCGGGCTCCCTGTCCCCCGCCCCACATAGTGCAGTACGGTAGAGAAATAGAAAAAAAATATGATATAGATTTATTCATAATATCATTAATCATGACCAGCCTTGTTCATAATGGGTACTCGACAATCAGGACAAAATAGTACTGTATGTAATATATTTTGTTGGCTTATTATTCTCTATAGCCCTATAGTATTTCACATACGGTGTTTTTAACAGCTAGTTATTGCGATTTATTGAAAATTCTAGGGTACTTGAGTCAGAAGTATTATGGTACGTATACCTCAGTGATTCCCATTCGTTACGTTTTTCAAGAGTATTCGTTCATGAAAACTATTGATATACGTGTAGTATGCCGGATTTGAATACTCTTGACAAATCATACTTG